CTGATTTTGATTAGATGCTTCTACTTATGTCTAAAATCTGTTTTTTTTAATATTAGAATGGGGAAAGTTAACATTGGTTGTATCATCAACAATATTAAATGAGGGACAAAACCTCACTATATATATAGTATGTATTTTTGCTAAGCGTGGGATTCTGTGTGATGCTGGTCTGTAGGGATTGATTATTAAAAAGTGCTAGAAGTACTCAAAAATATTCAAGTATGTTACGTGACTGGCTTAATTCTTAAGGATTACACCATTTTATTGATTAGAATGCCTAAAGGCCTTAACATATGATTAATTCTACATTGCCATAAAATATGATTAATTCTACATTGAAGTCTAAATCAGTTGTTTTCAACCCATCACTGTGTATGCATCTGGAGAGCTTTATAAAAATAAAAATAAAAAAAAAAGTCCACCCCCAGACGTTTAGATTTGGTTTTGGAGTGGAAGCCAGGCATGTGGAGTTGGTCAAAGCTCTGAGGTTGTTTCTAATGTACGGAACCACTGATCTAAAAGTCCATATTCCACACCGTTTGGGTAATGTATTGGTTTTAAAGTATAGCCTTACGAGGGATTCTTCCTACCCTATAGCCTCAGGTATGGCATTGGTTTCCAGGGAATAATACCCAATTAGTTCATTTTAAAAACTTTTGCTTGCTTGTCTAATTTTCTGCCCTGAATAGGGAAAATTGATTTGTTACGGTTTCTACTGAGAATTAACTGTTAAACCACATATCTAGGAGGTTTGAATTAGAATAACCTGGTGCAAATAGCTGCAATTAATGTTACATGTTATTCTGGTTACATTTCATAATTTGTTTTCTTTCAAACCAATTATGTATTTTATATCTACCAGACTTTGGTTTATCCTATATTTTACAGACATGGTCTATATTTAAAAAAATAAAACAAACTAATGCAAGTTTGATGCCACTTGGTAAAATGCTACATAAGAATATCATGCTTTAAGGCAGAATAAAATAAAACTGCTTCTTAAAAATATTAGAATCCTCATTAACTTTATTTGTGCTCTTGTTAAAAACCAAAAGAAGAAGTACCCAGAATTCTGAGGGTTAAAGCATTGCCATCTAAAGTAGACTGGTTTTTATTGGTATAATATTACAGGCTTTGTCACATCTGCCATTTCACTGTGTTTAAGATTCCAGATATGTTAATTTACTCTTGTCACTTTTTTTTCTATTATCTCAACATATAATGGGGTTGGTCTTCCATTTGGCTCTGGTAAAATGTTGCTGATAATACCTTGGAATGTTTATGGCTTAAAGTAACAGAAAACACTACTGCAAGTGGTATAGACAATAAGGAAATTAATTATCTTACATAACAAGAATTACCAAAGCTTGTTCAGAGTGTTTTATTCAGCATCGCTCTACCCTGCTACCCTGTGACTGTCAGCTTTGGCCGTCTGTATTCATGGGTTGCGCACCTGCACATTCAACCAACCACGGGTTGAAAATGTTAAAAATAATAATAATAATCGTGGAAAGTTCCAAAAAGCAAAACTTGAACTTCCCAAGTGCCAAGCATTACGCTGAGTCCATGCTAATGAAGTGATATATAGGCATACCCTGCTGTTGCCTCCAGCCATTTTCACAGATCCTCAGCCTCTCTCTAGCAATTGCTGTTTGAGCACTGTTCACCTCACATCTCTGTAGTATGCCATTTTATATAAGGGATTGAGCATCCATGGATTTTGGTATCCACAGAGGTCCTGGAACCAATCCCCCTTGGATACTGAGGGGTGACTGTTGGCAAAATTCAGTATCTCTTTTTTTAAGAGTAAGGANGAGGGAGAGAGAAAGTGGGATGCTAAATGTGTTAAAATAGTGATTCTAAAAGTCTTTTTCTGTAAAGGAAATAATGTAAGGGTAAATACACTACTCAAGTTTTTTAATGCAAATGAACTTAAAGGTTAAATTTCACTTAATGGTACTTTAGATCATTTTTGGAAGTTAATTCAGTCCTACCATTTTTTTTATCTTTATAAAAGATGTTGGCTTTTTTTTTTTTCATAGTATGGAATAGCATTGATAAAACCCATATCTACTGCTGGCATTGGATTGATGGTTGGACTAAATTGTTTTTAAGGCCCCTTTTGACCATAAGACTTTATTATTTCATATAATACTTATTTTTAGCACTGGTCAAGGCTCAACAGGAAGTAATGCTCTGTTGCAGTCACTCATGCAAACCCTACTGCCGCTAGTGGAGTCCAGATCAATCACCCTTTCCCCTACTGTCTTCTAGGCAGTCGGCCTTTGGATTAAGAGGCTGTTTTATTGACTGTATGAATCCAGGAGATGTCACTAGATCATGATATGCTTTTTCTTGCTTCCTTATCCAGGCTCCCATTTCTGGTTTCTTTCCTTATTCCCAATTTGACATATGAACGTTGACCATAGACCATAAAGTGATCAGATTTGTGCCCTGTGCCGTGCTTGGGCCACTGAACGTCAGTCACACTCACCCTGGCTGATCCTGGACGTTGCCCATGTTTTGTAGTATTTTTTTCAGCATCCTGAATTATGACTAGCTTTTTCTTTAGCGTTTACATAACCATTATGATTCAGGTCTGAGGCCTAACTTCTGACCTATCTTCTCCTGTAACTGATTTTGATTAGATGCTTCTACTTATGTCTAAAATCTGTTTTTTTTAATATTAGAATGGGGCAAGTTAACATTGGTTGTATCATCAACAA